GCTGACGGTCAGCGAGCCGATCTCCCGGCGAGACACCTTCTCCTTGTGCATGTCGACCCTCTGCGGAGCTGACACTGTCCCCACCGTCCCATCCCAGGTTCTCCCCACCCCCAGCTGCCCCCTTCAAGTCCCACCGCCCTTCCCAGCCATCTCCCTGCCTGCAAGGGAGGGGTTTCAGGGAAGGATCAGGGTTGAACCTGAACACCCCCCCCCACAGCCCAGGCAAAGCCACAGGGACAGATCCTGCTCTGCTCCAGCACAGCAGAGCGAGCAATGCCCTTGATGCCACCACAGCAGGTTTGACCCTTCCTAAAGCAGCAGATGGGGGGACGGGGCAGTTGTGGGGGGGTGGATGAGTGAGCCTTGACCAGCCCATAAGCTCTTTTCCTGCTGCTTCCAGCATGACCACGAGGTCCCGTCTCCTCCCGGGCCTGGAAAGGCTCCAGGCGGCTTCCAAGTGCCAGGAAGAGGGCGGGTGGCCCCGGGACTCCACATCGGTGTCCCTAAGCTCGGGGAGGACAAGGCCAGGCCAACACCCTGCGCCCCAGCACTCCACTTTGGCTCCTCTGAGATTTCCTGGGCGATTCCCGCAGTCCCCTCCACTGGGATTTTCAAGTGCCCAGACTGGGAGAACAACCCAGGGACCAGTTTCTCAGGCCCAGTTGGACTCATCCCCTCTGTGATGCCTTGGGTGACCCCCCCACCACCCAAAGAGATGGTCTTGCATTGCCACTGCAAGGTGATGCTACGGGGAGCTGACGGGCTCTTGAAGCTGCAGGGAAGGAGGGTTTCAGCCCCTTCGAGTTGCCCAGACCCCCCTGCCCGGTGCCCACCCCCTTCTCAGGACACAAACCCAGCACTGGTCAGAGGACGGTCCCTACCTGGGCCACGCAGCCAACGTCGGCCTCCACCTTCCGCAGCTCGGCCGCCTGCAGGTCCAGCAGCCGGAGGAAGGCGGTGGCCAGGCTGCTGACCTGGTACGTCACGCTGGCCAGGGACTGCGTGCTCAGAGCCATCGTCTCCTCCAGCGCCTTCTGCTTGTCGCTGGCCTGGAGGGGGAAACCCAGCCGGTCATTCGAGCCCACCCCACGCGGCCACCACTGCCGTGGACCTTCACGCTGGAGTCACACGATAGCAGAGATGCTTCCTTCTGCTTTCCAAATGCATCAAACTTCCTCCGGCTCTGCCGGCGGGACACACGGGCCAGGCAGCAGCACTTGGCTTTTCTAGCACCAGGGATTCACCAGGATTCCTCCCCGGGATGCTGCGGGTTCAGCCGGTGCTGAGTGCCTTGCGCAGCCTCCTGCCAGCCCTGGGGACAACCGGCCGTGCCACCAGCCAGCCAGGCGTGGGACAGCTCGCTGTGTCACCAGTCAGCCAGCCCTGGGGACAGTCGGCTGTGTCACCAGCCAGCCAGGCATGGGACAGCCGGCTGTGTCACCAGCCGTGCTGGCGACGGTGTCTGAGTAGTTCAGCACGTTTCCCCTTCAGCTCCACGCTGGTGGGTCCAACCCCATGGGAGCAGCCTTGGCTGGAGCCAGCGAGGCCACTGACATGGGCTCTGCCGAGCCCACAGGGATCCCCCCAGCCAAGACACCCTCCCCAGCAAACAGGGCCAGAACAAGCCTTTTCCCTCCTATTTTATTCCAAAAGCTCCCGCTCCCCCTTTCTCTCAGACAGAGAGGAGGAGGAGGAGGAGGGATGCTGATGGCGGCAGAGCTCCACACTTGCTCTGCATGTGCAGGCACCCAGCTCGCCCCTGCCCTGCCAGGAGGCACCTCTGAAACCCTGGGGACAGCCCTGGCAGGACTGATGTCCCTTGTCTCTCCCAAGGCTTCTCCAGAGGCACCAAACCACCAGAGAACTCTCCCTTCACCCCAAACCCACCCCGAGAGCTGAGCAGAAAAGCTGCAGTGAAGCAAGAGGGGAAACCGAGGCACGAGAAAAAAAAAAAACAGCGACAGGCGATGCTCGGTAGGAAGCTAAGAGGGACGGTCAGGACCCCATCCCTGAGGGCAGAACCTTCACCGTCACCCACCAGCCACCCCCCTGGGACCACCATCGCACTGGGGCTCCATCCCCAGCATCACACCCAGCCCCAAAGCTCATCCCACGGTGTCCCCGTCCCCGCCCCACCTGCAGGTAGTTGCTCTCGCAGTAGTCGGCGACCCTGTGGAGGTTGCAGTGGTGGTCGCGCAGGACCTGCCGGCCCGCGGGGATGTCGCGCTGCTGCAGCTGCTCCAGCTCCAACATGGTGCTGGGCTCAGCTCCCACTTCCTCCCCGGCCGCCTCGGCGCCGC